GTTGTTGTTGTTGTTGTTGTTGTTGTTGTTGTTGTTGAATTCTCATTTCTGAAGAATCATTATTGTTGATCCCCCCCACCGGTGCATGCTGTTTTTATTTCTCAGTCAAAGTGTGCCCCTCGACGCTCGCACCTTGTTTTTTGACAGGGAAAGTCTTCCTGCTCAAACTGGCCCCCTGGCCGCCGGGTTACAACAACAACGGCTCCCGCCTGAGACTTCCTTACGATTTAGGCAGGACCCCCGCTCCCGCCCGAGACTTCCTCGCATTTTATTAAGGAATCGCGTTCTCGCTTGGGACTTCCTTACAATTTATTCAGGAATCGTTCTCCTGGAGCTCTGGAGTCGCGCTCTCGCTGGGGACTCGCTTGCAACTTCTTACTGAAGAATAGCCTTCCGTTGGAATTTCCTGCAATTTGCCCAGGCGCCGCGCTCCCGACACCCAGGCACCCAGGAGTCGCGCCCGTTGTGGCCCCATGTGTATGCCCTTCGTGGCCCCGCTGTCGCTATTTGTGTCCCCCTCATTGTCCTACGTGGCCCAGTTGCAACCGTCAGTGGCCCCATAGTTGCCTTCTGTGGCCCCGCATTATCTGCACTTCGTGGCCCCCGCTCGTTCGCATTTTTCGTGGACCCATACGCATTCCCTTCGTGTCCCCGCTGTCGCCCTTCGTGGCCTACTTCGTGCCCTTCGTGGCCCTGCTGTCGTTCTCTCTCGCTCTCGCTTTCGCTCGTCGTCGCCGTCGTCGCCGTCGTCTTCGGCGTCGTCGTCGTCGTCGTCGTCGTCGTCGTCGTCGTCGTGGTCGGTCCCCTGTCCGTCCCTCTTGGGGTCGGGTCGACGGTCCACGGCCGCCCCGCCGATCAGCGCTGCCGCTGGCCAGGCCGACGGTCCGCGGCCGCCCCGCCGCTTGCCGGGGCCCAGCCTGCAGGGAAGAAAAGTATACCCCCCCCAAAAGGGGTTGATCGAAGACGAAGAGGGCGGGGTATCGAGGGAGGGGGGTTTGGGGGTTGGGGGGGGGGGGGGGGGTTTTTTTGGGAAAAAAAAATACGCGTATTGGACGCTTCGAGATATAAAGCGCGAATAGTCTTAAAATGAGTGGTTGTTGTGGCTGGGTCTCGTGCTCCTTCGTCGTCGTCGTTCGTTTCGTCGTCGTCGTTCGTCGTTTGAACATTATGTATTATTTCTAAAGAATAATTATTGTTGGGGCCCCTGGTGCACGACCCCCCCGCCGCGCCTAGGCCGCAGCCTATTTCATCATTTTCGTGAGGAAGTCTCAGGCAAAACGGGGCGGTAGAGTCCGGAGGATCCGGTTTTTGTTTTTGTGTTGGTTTTGTGTTGTTTTTACGAATCGGTTTCCCTTGCAAAAAATAAGGTAAAGTGGACATTTCTTGTTCTAACATAACCAAACTTCAAGAATCCCTTGCAAAAAATAAGGTAAAGTGGACATTCGCGCGCGCAAGACGAAATCCTTCCAAAACCTTAGTTTTCGTAGCGATTTTAACATAAAAACATCAAAAAACCAATGGTTTTTCAAAACAAAATTGTCAAAATTTCATCCCGCGCGCTCTTGCGGATTCGTAGGAAACCCAACACTTTTTAATCATTTCTGTCAAACGGGCTTTTGCGAGCAACTTTTTCGAACTTCTGCAACAACGGTTGCGCACCTGCCAGGCCATCATCCCTGTCAAATAATACCATGCGGGACACATTCGTTTTTTCTTTGCGCGCGCACGCCGTCGTCGTCGGCCGCGGGGCCCTGAATAGTAGCCACGGTCGTCCGCATGCCACGACGTGAAGTGTCCGAACGTCATAGGGCGGGAAGCTGGAAGTGGTGGGTGGGTGGTGGCGGAAGAGGTCGTTGGAAAAATTTGGTAGCGCTGAAGGAGCTTTTCGAAAACGGCTGGAGCCTGCCAGGGGGGGCGGTATTGCCCGCCTCCTATGAAAACCCTGGCACTGGTGAGAACGGTGTGTCCCCACGTGCTAGTAATTGTTGTTGTTGTTGTTGTTGTTGCTGTCGTTGATGCTGTTGTTGAGTTCTCACGACTGAAAAATAATTATTGTTGACCCTCCTCTTCTGGTGACCATTGTGCTTTTTCAATGGAAGTGCTTCCGCTGGGATTCGCATTTTCGTATCAGGGAAAGTCACTCGGCTCAAACTGTGTTGGACGGCCCCCCGATTACAACAACGACGGCTCCCGCCTGAGACGTCCTCACAATTTAGCCGGGACCCCCGCTCCCGCCTGAGACTTCCTCGCGTTTTACTCAGGAGTCGCGCTCTTGGTTGGGACTTCCGTACGATTTATTCAGGAATCGCTTTCTCGGCGCTCTGGAGTCGCGCATTCTCTGGAGATTTGCTTGCAATTTATTGAAGAATCGCGCTATTGCATTGGAGTTTCCTGCAATTTACTCAAGCGCCGCGTTCCCGACACTCAGGCACAGAGGAGTCGCGCTAGGACTCCTTCGCAGCTTATTTAGGAATCGGGATCTCGCTAAATTTCGTGGCCCCGTTGCAGCCCTTCGTGGCCCCCTCGCTGCCCTTCGTGGCCACGTTGCTGCACTCAGTGGCCTCGTCCTTGCCCCCTGCGGCCCAACATGCGTATGCCCTTCGTGGCCCCCGCTTGTTCGCGCCCGTCGTGGCCTCATGTGCATGCCTTTCGTGGCCCCGCTGTCGCCGCTTGCCGCGCTTGCCGCCTTCCTCGACACAGCAGCGGGCGATGGCGGTTTCATTCGCCTCAACCAGGATCGTCCACCCATCGGCCCGATGTCCGAAACGTATGGACTCTTGTTATTCCACGGCAGCCTCGCCCACGATGTATCGTGGGTAATCCATGTAGCGGCGCGCGCTCTTCTCTCCCATGTCCAAGGCGCGGACCACAACAACTTCTCACCAACCCTGTACAGCGCACCATTGAATGGCAATGTGCAGGGTCGGCGAGATGCTCCTCTTCCCGTCTTGGAAGACAGGGTTGCCCAAGGTGACAAGAGCTGCTGGACGGCATTTTTGACACATGTAGCACGCTATTGTCGTGTTGATGGAGACCGCGGCCTCCTCGCCGAGCTGCTCGAACTCTTTCCCTCCTTTCATGGCCAGGGGGCCGCAGACGGCGTTTCCAGCGAACCGTTGCAGGGCCCGTGCCTTGCGGTCGCCGTCCAGGATGCATTTCTCACAGCGCACGCCCTCGAGGTCGTCCAGGAGCCCGTCCTCCACCAAACGTTGCACCTGCTCGGACGGGGTCATGCGAATCCATGCTTTCAAGGACACGGGGAGGCAGCTGCGGCTTCTCTGCACCACCAGGCCGTACCACTCGCAGCGGACCCTCTTGGGCACGTAAAGGTCGTGAGCGCGCACGCGTCTCTGCTTCGCTTCCGAGGTCGTCGGCGGCGCAGTCATGGCAGCCGGCAAACAAAGCTGCAGGAACGTCGTCGGGCAGCTGATCATGAGACCTCAACGCGTCCGCCGCCCCAGCCCATGTCAGATATTATTCACCATACACGTGATGTAATGTACGACGGGTCAATCTCCCGAACTTCCAGCACGGTGAGCCCTTTGTGGCGGCCCACAGGGAACCGGCATACGTCTTCTCCAGCCACCATGGCCCTGCGCGGGGCCAGGCGCACCTCATATTCCCGAAGCTCGGAGAGGGTGATATCCCGGTTTTCGTAATGCTTGTAGATGGACTTGTGCTGTAGGCCGTCAGCGTATCTGCCACCACGCAGCCGTCGTAGCGTCAGGCTTGGTAGGGAACTGTAAGGATTCCTTCGGGATTCCTACTGCTTCCTTCAGAATTCCTACGGATTCCTTAGGGATTCCCTCGGGGTTCCCTAGGGCTTCCTTAGGGCTTCCTTAGAGATTCCTCTGGATTCCCGAAGGCTTTCCTAAGGATTTCTGGGGATTCCCCAGGGCTTCCCGAACGATTCTTGAGGATTCCGCAGGGTTTCCTTCGGGTAGCTGCAGGACTCTCTAAGGTTTCCCTTGGGATTGTCAAGGATTCCCCAGGGCTTCCCTAGGGATTCCTAAGGATTCCCTTGGGCTTCTTTGAAATTCCTAAGGATTCCCTAGGGCTTCCTTAGGGATTCCTAAGGATTAACAAGGATTCACTCGAGATTCGTGAGGATTCTCTAGGGATCTCCCCGGGTCCGTCAGAGGCGTCGGCACACCCGGGTGCGCGGCCGCCGTCGTGGAAGGCGCCGAAAGCGGATTTGTCCGCCCGGGCGAGGCGTCTCCCAGGGCCAGTTGGGGCGTTGCTGCTCCTAGGCGCGCGGCCGCCTGACTGGAAGGACCCCCCGGGGCTGGCATAGGCGGCGGCGCACGTGGCGCGCGAACGCTCTCAGACGGGGCCGGCTGAGAGTGTGCATGCCCCGGTGTGCCACCCTCTTTGCCGGCCCCGGGCTTGTTGTTGTTGAACATTATTCCTTCTAAAGAATTATTATTGTTGGGACCCCTGGTGCGCGACCTCTGCGCCGCGCCTAGGCCGCAGCTACATTTTCATCATTTTTTCGCGAAAGCTTCAGAAAAGTGGATGAGCTCCGGATCCGGTTTTTTGTTGACGCTCGTTTTCCCTTGCAAAAAACAATAGAAAATGAAAATTCTTGTTTTACTTGATCAAATTGCAAGAATCCCTTGCAAAAAATAAGGTAAAGTGGACATTCGTGCGCGCAAGACGAAATCCTTCCAAAAACTTAGGTTTC